TGGGCCATCCTCCTCATCACTCTTCTTTGTTCTAGAAAGTGAAGGCGCTTTAGCAACAGCGCTCAGCACCCTGGGGGTAACCAGCAGTGTAAATGTCTGTGTCTCTGTGTCCTCAGCACTCCACACCCTCCCTAGCACAGAGTGGGCAGCTGGTCAGTGTGCTGACCTAGTGGGTGAATAGTTGTCTTCAGACAGAAGCCCCGCTTTCAGGAGCTTTAGCTACGGTGGGTGAGACAAGGCACACTTACATATAAAGGAGCCAAAATATAAAGGAGTGGGTGTATGCTGGCCCCAGGGTGGTGTGTGAGTATCATGGGCAGTTAGGGTATTATGCCCTATTGAGCTGAGTATCATGAGCCACTTGGATTGGGCCAGTTTGGGGGAGGGACACAGCTCAGGGAGAAAACAGCACCCCTAGTGGAGGAAAGTGGCTGTGTCTCACCTGAGAGGGCAAAGGGTCCTCTACCTGGGTTCCAACCGCCTGGTGCAGCAGTGAGGGCCCTGAGGCTGCAGTGGGAACACATGAGCCAGCTGGCCCCACTGCTGTCGTCCTCAGGGGGGCCACACCCGCTCACACACACGCACACCACTATCTGCCAGTCCCTGGTCGGGCTCAAGCAGAAGGAATGGGTAACTTCAGCAGTCAAGCAAAGCACAGTGTGTAGAAACTAAACATCATTTGAGTTTTTGAACTCTAAGTGTTGGGTTATGAAAAAAAAAAAAGTGCTTTAAATTTAAAAAAATATTGCTTTAAAATGTAAATTGTTTTTTAAAAAATCTGTTTGTTTTTCTTTAGGAGCATGGCCTGTTCTTATAGATGATTTTGTGGAATACGCACGGCCAGTAGTCACAGGTAGTAAACACAGCCCTTTCTAGGCAGAAAATGAAAATGGCTTAGGATTGTGAAATGAACTGCAACCTGCAAGGAGACATTTCGGTCAATTTCTGTGCACACATGTCGCTGATTTCAGAAGTCATCCTTGACCAGTCATCTCTGCTTAAAGAAAACGGTGGCTGAATTTGGAAACCGTGAGGAGATCAGAAGACAGATGCTCGGGGGCGTGTGGAGATGGGTCTCGTACCTGTTGCTTCGGGAGGTTTCTGCATGATTCACACAGTGGTGGAGGAGCACCGAGAGCCTGTTTGCAGGACTGCAGCGTGCACCGTTAATTCATGACTTCAGGTGAACACCAGCAGCTACCACACTCCACTAAACTAGATTGTAATTACACTTTAAAAAAGTACTTGTGCCCTTGGTAGGATGTTGTATTTTTATAAAAGTCAAAGCTGTTTAAAATGTGCCCAAAAGAAAATGATCTTGTTGTGGATTCTAACATTTTTTTAAACTTGGTGCCAGGAATTCAAGATTTATATTTTTTGAATTATTGAATATCTAGATTTACCAGATCTATTTTTGTTTTAATTTTCTCTAGATGTTCATCTGAAAATCGTTCTATAGTTTTTAATAGCCATTACAGTTTCCACAGCGGTGGCACGTGTAGTACGTGAAATTCCAGGAAAGTTTTATTTTAAACTGCTTACAAGTCAGCAGGTCTATTTTACTTTTAATGATGTCATTTGAACTTCCTAAGAAGTTTCGTAAAGTATGTTTTTTTAAAAGAAAAGTATTTTATTACACTTAAGATGACATTTTCTGTGAAAAATATTTCTTTTATGAATGATGAATTGTAGAGTAAAAATTGAGTTGGTTCCTTTCCACTGTCCATAGTATCCACAATGTCCACTCTCCAGCCCTTTGTGTGGTTGTACGCATTCGGAAGCTGAAACTAAAATACTTATCATTGTCCAAAACAAAAGCCAAATTGGAAACCTTCATCTCATTTGCAAGCGGAAGTCTGTCTTTGCATCACGTTGCCATCTGATTTTCCTGGTGTTTGCCTTGTCAAGGAGGACCGTCCAGGGCAGCACAGAGATAGGTAGATTGCTTGTCCGAAGGCGATGTACCTGTTCTACTTTGGGAAAAGCTCTGTGTCGAGTTTTGAAAAATCACTGTGTGGACCCTACCTCATATTTGAAAAGATCTTCCCGTCACAAGTGTGCCTGCTGTACTGCCTGTAACCCGGTTTATCAGACAAATAAATTGGGTAATTTTGGGACAGAGCAAGTTCACTTCAGATTTCCTGTAAACAGAAAGTGTGCCTAAAATGTGTCGTTTTGATTTGACTTCCAAAAATGTGATTCATTCAGTGTTTTAGGAAGCACCCATGCACATTAAGTTTGTGTGTACTTGCTATATGTGAACTATCTACACTTTTGAATAGAAATCTTTCAAAGAGCTTAGCAGGCCGTGGAGGGTTGGAAAGGGGGCTGAGGCCTGGAGACCGCAGGCTAGGCTGGGTCATTGGCCTGTAATTGGGTCCTCTCCCAGTCTTCCACTTCCATGTCTAAAAAAAAAAAAAGCAAGGCCATCTCTATCTGTAAGTCTGTGATTTTAAGAGAGCATTTATTTTATATAATAAAAGCTAGCTTTAATAAAAAACCTCAACAAATTTAAAGCATCCTTCAAGGCTTCATGTATTCTTGACATGTAAGTGTTCTGCTCAGAGATTATAGAACTTGGATAATCCTGTATAAATTATAGAGGTCTGCAACACTTTTATTCTTAAGATTTAAAGTTATATAAGGAAAATGTCCTATGGACTTGTTTATCAATAGATATCAAAACATTAGAATTGGACAAAGGCTCTTCAAAAAATTGTGCATTTCCTTTCTTCTATTATATACATTTAAATCATGCATGCTATGAAAGTGCTAAGAATTTGGAAACATTAAAATAAATTATTTTTCTCTGATGTTGTGGTATACTTTTAATTGTATTCTTGGTTGTTCCTATACTCACCACTAGATGTCAGGGTTTTGATCTTGTCTTGGGACTGACAGGAAAGCCACCCTTATAGCACAGTGACATTCCCACCTTGTGTCTAGCCTGCCAACGTAGTTAAATGATCATGTCCCAAAATTAACAGCTTCAGTCATTTACTTTTCTTTTTAAGTGTCACACAGTGTGCTAAATGTGATTATCTCTATGTGAAAAAGTATTTATCTCATACAGCCCTTGAATTGATAGGAATTATGTAACCAGAATACACTAAAAAGCAAGCTATAAATATATTGAAAATAGCCCTGGCTGGTGTGGCCCAGTAGATTGAGTGCCAGCCTGCAAACCCAAGGGACGCCAGTTCGATTCCCAGTCAGGGCACGTGCCTGGGTTGCGGGCCAGGTTTCCAGTAAGGGGTACATGCGAGGCAACCACACATTGATGTTTCTCTCCCTCTCTCTCTCCTCCCGTACCCTCTCTCTAAAAATAAATAAATTCTTAAGAAGTATAAATCGAAAATACACAAATTAACCAAACATAATAGGTTTAATAAATATATGTTATTTTTACCTTCATAGAGTACCTGCCAAGAATTTCTGGAATAGATGTTGTTATTGCTCTTTAACTGGTAACATAATACATTTCATTGTGTTACTTTAACTCAGAAGTTTAAGCATAATATTATATACATATCTCAGACTTCAGGCTCCACGGAGGCAGGGTAGGTTTTCTCTGTTAGTTGTTATATTCATAGTTGGTGGCACACAGGCAGGGCTCCATAAATATTGAACAAATGAGTGAGCGCATCTCTCTTCTTCCTATTGGCTGACATAGGGCAGATAGTATGGAGTTGCTTCTAGCATCTTCAATAAAGGTTTCTGCTGCCTCGGAATTAGCAAAGGAGACTAGCCCTAGACTGCACCTCTGCCCCCAACAATACATCTTTCTGGCGAGCAATGCTGTTCCACCTGCAGTGGGAGTTGTCCGAATACAGGGCTGCTGCTGTCTGTCTTGTCCAGCAACCCAGAACCGTCTGTATTGATTTTGAAGGACTATTTGCTTCAGGATCTCTCAGAACTGTGCTAGCTAGAATAACATTCCAGGACCTGGTTTTTAACAAGGGCTGTTAAAATACTCCATGTTCATTGAAATGCATCTTAGCATCTTGTTATTATTGAAAGAAATTCTCTTTTTTGCAGATGTGTTTCTTAAGTCCAGGTGTGCCGCCCTCCTACTTCTGGGATGGTGTGTGCCCAGGTCCTGGGGAGCAAGGGGGAAGCGTGGGGACACTGTCACTCTCCAGGGCCTGGGGGACAGTGAGGTGGACTGCTTTCCTAACTTCTTGTCTCAAATCGAGATCCCTGGTTGACACATGCCACCTCCCCCAGCCTCTTCAGGCCTTTGCACATTCTCATTGTGAGTCAACGAATCAACGGGGTGTTTAAATACACAAAGCTGATGGCACCATCAGGATCCCACTGCGGGGCTTTGTGCTCTGCTCATGTGCTTTGCAATCTAACGTCTGGTTCTGTGGACGGCCTTCTGTTGAACTTCACACTGTGAGAACACGTCATAATCTCTCACACTGGAGCTAGACGTGCTCTCTTTCCCTACACTTTGCATTTTCTCAGTTTTCTATCATAAGCACATTTTTATAATTAAAAAAGACTTTCCAAAAAATAAAACCATGATGGATGAATCTCCACATTATGCTAAATAAAAGAAAAAGGCCACATAATGCATAATTCCATTTAAAGCTCCAGACAATGCAGAAGTTAGGGACAGAAAGCAGAGGACTGGTTGCGGGGTGAGGGGGGTGGGTTGCGGTGTGGGGAGCAGGGAGCAGACAGGCAAAGGGGCCTTTGGAGTGACAGACTTTCAAAACGGGTCTGCGGGGAAAGTCGCACAGCGGCGCCCCTTCACCCGAACTCATCAGACCCGGCGCTGATCCTGGGTGGATTTCGTGGTGTGTGAATGACACCTGAAGGCCTTAGAAATGCGTGCATTCTTCCAGAACACCGTGACAAGATGCACTACTTAAAAGTTGATGCTTTGCGAGAGCGCGCCTGGGGTGGGTCTGGGCGCTGCCCGGAGGTGCTGGAAAAGCCTGCAGCCTCTTGGTGGAAGAGCTCCTGTCTCCAGACGCAGAGGGAAGCTGATACTCCACGTGGCTGTTCAGACAGCGCCGCGAGCCGCGGGGTCCAGAAAGGTTTTCTCATTGGTGCCACCTGCAGACCGAAAAGTAGTGCCTGGCCATTTGAGGAGGCTCTTCACAGCGACACAATGACCAGAAGAGAGGTCAGCGGGGTGGACTGAAGGCGGCCACTGCCGCGAAGCAACAAAGGCTGGGCGTGCTCCGAGGCCGGGAGGGCGGAGGAGCCACCTCGGCGATGGAGAAGTTTCAGGCCGCGATGTTGCTAGGAAGCGTCGGAGACGCCCTGGGTTACCGAAACGCCCGCAAGGAGAACAGCGCTGCAGGCGCGAAGATCCAGGAGGAGCTGCAGAAGCTCGGGGGGCTGGACCACCTCGCGCTCTCACCGGAGAAATGGCCTGTGAGTGACAACACCATCATGCACTTGGCGACGGCCGGGGCCCTCACCACAGGTAAGGCTCGGCCCCTGTGCCCCTTGGGGTGTCGCTGACCCCGCGGTCTTGCCCTGAGCACTGGAGTTTTGAAAGCGAGGGCCTCTCCGCCACGGTGTCACCCGGCGCCAATGCTAAAAGTGGAGATTTAATGTACACCAGTGTCCCTCAGCAAATCGGACATGCCACAGATCATGTTTCTCATGCAGGCTTTCTGGACGACAGTATTATTTCACTCTGTGTATCTTCAGAGTCAGTTTCTTAAACAGGGACTTTTCGTTTGTCTGTGAAGTGCTCGCTACCCCGAGCCCTCTGTCCCTGGATCTAAATTCAGTTAAATCTCTCACTTTGGGGCTGTTTGGGTGAGGGCTCAACTTTTCAGGGCAGGTAGTAATTACGCCTTAGCCTGAATTTACTTCAAAAGAATATAAAGTAATAAGCCAGTTTGGAAATTTGGACAAATTAAGATAATATTGTTTGGGGATTACAGCTAAATTACAAATGAATTAGAGTTAAAATACCAGCTACTGAAATATGATTTAGCTTGGATAGTTGCTTATACATAAATATTTCCTAAGCAAATGCTATAAAATTGGTTGAATTTGGGAAATGGGGAAGCAAAGTTTCTTGAAATATCCTTTGAATAGCAAGTTGATTTTAGGATCAACAAGTTTTTGCATGGATTTCAGACAAACCTGTATAAATATGTAACATAATTTTCCCACAAGTTACTTGCTTTTTAAAAATCTGTGTTAATAATATGTTGCTGCAAAATTAAAATCTGAGGGTGACTCTTAAATCAATGAAACCTCACTTGTGAGCTTACCTCACCATTCCAAGTGTCTGTATGAGCATGCTCAGTTTAGTTCTGCGGTCATTGCACAAGAATGTGATCTACTTTGTGACCGGTTCCTAAATAGCTAGGGACAGAGCTAAAGCACCATAGATAAGATAAAGTGTCACAGCGTGTTGAAAATGGTGAAGCATCTTTCTGAGTCTACACAGCTAGGACATCCAAATAGTTCCTGTCTGATGCTTTCAAGAAGATTCCCGTGGGTTTTGTGTTCAATAGTGCTAAGTGGCATTCCAGTGGCCCAAAGCAGCAATGCCGACTGCCCAGGAACCTGCTGGACAGAGAGCGTGGCTTTTGAAACAAAACCACGGCTCGTCTTAGCTGCACACAGGTGGTCATCACTCTTAAACTTTGCTTCCTTTTTGTCTGCCTGATTGATGCTGTGCGCACACGGTCCAAGGTCCACGTGTCCTCTATGCTTGCCCTCATCTCCGTTAGCACGTCAGTAAGTTTCTGTGAACGGCAGAATCCACAACATGTCTCTGTCCTGGGTGGTTACCCCTAGGACAGCATCCAGCACCGGTGGGGCACTCCTGACCATAATGTGCTCTCTGAGGTTAGATAGAGTCAAGTCCTCTTGGCAGAAATGCGGCCTCATCTACTTTCAAGGTGAAATGTACGCATTTAAGAGGATTATGGATTCGGGGACATTGTTTGTAAGGAGGATGATGAGTTGCCTCTACGTGACCACAGCCACCAGCTGTGGGAAGCGTGTAGCTGCTGTACCTGGCAGCACCCTCTGGCCCGTGGGTCACGAGAGGGAATTCAAGAAGACCTTGCCCTGTAGCTCCGTTAGTTGGAGTGCTGTCCCCATCCACCAAGGCTGCGGCTTTGATCCCTGGTCAGGGCACGTACAAGAATCAACCAGTGAATGCATAAACAAGTGGAGCAAGAAATCTGTGTTTCTCTCTCTTCCTCCCTCTAAAATCAATTTTTAAAAAAAGAAGAAGAAGACAGCTGCCGCCTTGCATCGTACTCCTTCAAAACCTCAAGCGAGCATATTTTTTTCAATTCATAAAAATCTAAGTTGAAATTTAATTTAGGGTTAGTTTTCAAACAGTCCATTTTTTTTCTTTAAGTAACAAATTGTAGCCTGTAGAAGGATCTGAGCTAACTCCAACATGGCACCAATTATGTGCCAGATGTTGCTCTAACTTCACATCGTTGTACCATCATCTAATCTTCACACCCCCAAAGGCTGGCGGCATTACTGCAGTTTGTTTGATAAGGGAGCTTATTCACAGACAGGTTAAATAACTTCCACTATGCTACACAGCCTTGTGGGTGTCAGATTAGGGGCTGGAACCCAAACAAACTGGCCCCAGTGCCCGTGTTCTCACGCACTGTCCCCACCACCTGAGGTCCCTGCACATGAAAACATTTCAAGGATCCCAATGAATAGTGGTTTGTCAACATGTTTTTCAAAGAGAGGCAAATTTTCACATAGTGGAACTACATCTTGGCATACTTAAGCAATTCACTAATAAGTGCCTAAGCTGATAAACCATGTAGCTGTGTGGCCTGCTGAACCACCATTCTGCTATAGAGCGAGTGTGATGAACAAGGTCAGGTGCAGCCCTTGTGACGTCCTACTATTGGGCGTGTCTCTGAAAAGGACAGTGGTAAATGAAAGCAGACATTGACTAGGCAGAGGAAGTAGCTAATACCCCACAGGATAGGTTGGTAATCCAGTATATACAGTTTATGAGCAAAGAGCTCATTAGACACACATTTGCCAAAGGCTCCCTTGCGTGTGTGGTCCTTGCCAACCACCGGAAGATGCAGGCTTCTCTCTAGGGGCTCCGGCGCGTGACATTCCTAGTTCTCCACTGTTTCTCACCAGAAAACCATGTTCCCTCTCCGAGCCTTACTTCCGGGGGACAATTCTTCCGTCACAGGGTTGTGCGAAGATTCAATGGGACAGCAGAAGTTATTACGGGAAGGTGGCTCGTGGAAACACAGTTAATGTCAGTCTTTTCCCCATGCCTTACGCATCTGAGGGCCAGCAGCTCCAAAGGTCATGGCCAAGCGAAGTCCCCCTGTCACTGTTGCTGTGGGAGACAAACGAGGGAGAGGGAGTAGGAGGCCCCCGGGGACAGCAGCAAACGCCACCCGTGCGTCCGTGACCTGCAGGGGAACGAGGGGCCTGACCCAGGTGCGAGCAGACAAGGCCCGTCCAGACTCACCTCTTTCCTCCTCTTTCTCCTCCGATGTCTCCCCGATGACGACATTTCGAAAAGTTGACATTTTTTTTACAAAGTAGCTTGGTATTGGTACTGTGACTTTTCTTCATCATGAGATCAGTTGGGAGACTTACAGGGGATTTTATGAGCCGATTTGTCTTCAGAAGACTGGGTAGGTAAGTTAGAGAAGAAATTAACCATGTTGCACAGTGTGGGGAGATTCAGGTGAGAGGGCCCAAGGCTCTGCAGCTTTGAAAACTCTGTTTCTGCTTTAAATTCCAACCTGAAACCAGTGTAAGGCTTGGAGTTGTCATTTTGTTTCTAAGGAGTGTTTTTTCTTAATAAAAGGATGTGATTCCAGAATAAAAGGAATTATTTCTGGAGACCCTGGGAGGGGGAGGCTCATTAACCCTGGACTGAGTCACGGAAGGCTGTTGGTAATGGCAGCACCGGCGACAGGCCCAGACACACCCCAGAGGCTCACTCTCCCAGCCAAAGGTTACTCATTCCGGCAGGGTCACCCAAGGAACACCCCCTGTGTGACCAGCAGGACTCATTCCTCCCAATCAAGGTCTTTCCACAGCCTCTCTGTCCCCCTCAGAACTGGGGCGATGCAGGAGCAGTGGGTGGGGCCTCGTGGGCCTCCCCTTGCTGTTACGAGATCGAAGAAGGGGACAAAAGAACTTAGAGCCACTCTCTCACCAGGTCCTATCTCCAAAGGGTCACAACTCTAGGATATGAGGGTGCCACCTGCTAGAACCACTGCCAGGACTGAGCCTTTCATCCTGGAGTAGGGAGGGGTTTGCCAAGCATGCTTCTGATCTCTCCACCCCTGTGTGTTGGGACCCCGGCTCCGACGTGGCCTAACAAAGGCTGTAGTCAGGTCATGGGAAGGTCAGTGGGTTTTGATGCCAACAGCGCTCCACTGCCTGCTCTGGGCGCAGGGTGGCCAACAGCTGGTCTCTCACCCCTCCCCCACACATCCCCAAAGATGAGAATCCACCTCCAAAGAGAGGAGGGCCAGTAGCTGGCTCCTGATGGGGGCCTGCAGTGCAGCATTTAGCACAGACAAGTTGCTGGGGGCTGTGAGCTGCATCGGTTCGGGCACCCTGGGCCTGCCTGCCTCGCCTAGCGCAGCAGCCCCTCCACTGTCCCAGTCCTGCTCTCCGGTATTACCAAGCACCTTGGATGCCAGTTTGGGAGGGTGTGTGGCCTCCACCCACCATGCTGTGGATTAATTTAGTGGCAAAAATGCTCGGGCTCTGCAATCAAAATCCATCTACCAGCTCTGGCCTTGGGCAAGTCACATAACCTCACTGAGCTTTATCTGGAAAAATAACAGTAGGACAACTAAGAGCCTGGCAATGTCATGAGAGGATTTCACCAGATCATCCAAGGTGTAGTGCGGGGCAGACGGCAGGCGGCCCATGCGCATTGGCCCCTCTGTCCTCTGTGCCCTGTGACCTCGGAGGGACTTGAGGCCACACTTGTGCCCAGGACACCTTCACACAGTGGGGAATGCAGTTTGCTTTGGGACGATGCCTGGGAGCATTGGCAGCCTCGTCGGTGTGGAAGAAGGGCATAGCAGGTGGGAGAGACCTGGCTCCCCGTGCCGTAGCCACGGGTCCTTAAAGCCCCAGGAACAGGCAGATTTCAGTCTTTCGTCCTCACACGGACAGAACAGCTGGCAGTGTGTGAGCATTGCGGCTTTTCCTAGACTCCATATGTAACTAGAATAGGAAATACAACGACAAACTATAAAGTCTGGAATTTAGGTGCAATCTGAAGCAAATTATTTGTCTGCTTGTCAAATTTCTCTAGTAGCCGGGGCTGTGTGTGATGGATCACTAAAATCTCCTCCTCTCTCAGTGACTTGGAGACATAATGTTTGCTGTCACTTCCATTGTCACTGCTGTGTTGGGGGCTAGGAGGCAGGCGCCCCTCCCACTCCCCAGACGCCCCTCACGCTCCCTCTGGCCCTTCCTTCCTCAGACTACTGGTGTCTGGATGACCTGTACCGGGAGATGGTGAAGCGCTATGTGGAAGTCCTCGAGAAGCTTCCAGAACATCGAGCAGACCCAGCTACCATTGAAGGCTGCTCACAGCTGAAGCCGGATAACTATCTCCTCGCCTGGCACACACCTTTCAACGAGAAGGGTGAGGGGAAGCTTGCTTTTCCCTCTAAAGCTGCATGCTAGGAAACCACCCCAGGGCACTAACCCATGGGTCTCCCCACCGATGGGCTGCCTCGCAGGCCTGCGCGAGTTGAGAGGGATTTACCAGGGTTTGTAGGGCACAGTGATGCTTGGAGAGCCAGCTCACAGCACGGACTCTGTTGAGGGGACGCCAGTTTCCCGGCAGTTTGTCACCGGTCCCTGGTGTATTTTAAGAAATATTTTCCACTGCTTTCCCTTTAAGTTTGTAAAAAAAAAAAAATTGCCAGAACATCAGGGAAAACATACACCACCTGCATACATGTCTGTTTCCGCAATAATTTCACAGGTTTATGGGTGATGTATTTAGATAACCACAGTCTCTGTCTCCAGGGTCTCAGCTCCTGGGGGTCCAGACTGGCCCCTCTGGGTTTATGCTGAAAGATAACATCCAATCAAATAAAGTCAATAAATCAAAACTGATGGAACCTGACAGTCGTTAGAGTTATCAGACAAGGATATAAAATAGTATGTATTCTGAGGGGTAGAGGAAGAAGGGGGCAAGTAGGGGAAGGGTCTAGCCAAGGAGCATGCACGGATGACCCATGGACATGGACAGTAGGGTGAGGATTGACTGTGGGGGGGGTGCGTTCTGGGGGCAGGGGCAGGTGAGGGGAGGGCAATGGGGTAAAGTTGGGACAACCGTAATAGAACAACAGTAAAATTTACAAAAATTGTATGTATTCTAAATTTCAAAAACTTACATAGACACATGGAGGTGTAAAAAAGACCTAAGTTCCATTTCTATAGAGAAACATTACAATGTCTGAGTTTAAAAATACATTGGCTGAGATGAACAGTTTAGACATTCGTAAGAAAAGAGTAGTGAGTTTGAAGGCCCAGCAAAAATACTATCCAAAACGGGGCCCACAGAGAAGAAAGAATCCCCAAATACCAAAAGAACACTAGTGAGCCATGGGACAACTTAAAGCGATCTAATACACCTGTGACTGGAGCCCTTAACAGAGAAGGAGGACAGGGGAAACAAAGATTTCAAGAAATAGGGGACAAATGTTTCCAAATTGGATCAAAACTGGAAACTCATAGATCCAAGGAACTCAATAAATTCTAAGCCCCCCCAAACATAAACCCATGAAGAAAATGACACCAAGGCATACAGCAGTCAAATCACTCAAAACTGATACTCACATCAATACAGATAGTCAAGACAGGGTGAGGACAATAGCAGAGCTCTTAACAGAAGCAACATAAAGAGGACATAGCAAGCAATGTCATTCCAGTGTGGAAAGAAATAATTTCAACTTAGAATCCTACCCCCAGACAAAAGATCTTTCAGAACCAAGGCCTAGCGGCCCTCTTCAGGTGAACAGCAACTGGAGAATCCATCACCAGCAGAGTCACACCACCAGGGGTGCTCACAGAAGTCAGACAGGCAGAGGGGGGAACGGCAAATGGAAATAAGGACCTGCACAAAGGCATGGAGACAGATGGAAATGGTAACCACATATGATTATTTAACATGTTATTAAAGTGTCTCTAGAAGAAAATTGACTTTAACAAATCATAACAATGTACTGCAAGGTTTATAAATTGCATGTAAGCAAATGTGTGACACAGCAGCACAAAGGCTGGGAGTGGAGAGACAGAGGTGTTCCATCGTAAGGAGGTGTACAAGGTGTGAAGCGGTACGAAATCACATGGAGACAGACTACACTAGGTTAACGATCTATACTATAAGCCCAAAGCAACCACTAGAATAACAAAATAGTTATGATTAGTAAGCCAACAAAAGATTTGAAATGGAATCATTTTAACGATATTTGCTGGGGATGCAGCCATTGTGAAACTGGTGCCGGCCCCTCGGTTTGCCCAGTCAGTGCCCTGAGCTGGAACATTTCCCTGTGTAGAGACCAGGTATAGAGCTATCACTCACCCCAGAGTCTTCTCCTGAACAAGTCTTCCCCTGTTCTGGGTTCTCCGTGAACTTCCCGTACTGCTTAAGCGGGAGTGCCATATGGCACACAACCAGCCCCGCCAGTGCATCTGCCCTGTGGGGAGAGAGGAGGTGTTCACCTGCAGCGCAAGGGAGCGTGTGGTCCATGGCCCTGCCTTGGCTTCAGGAGGGACCCGCCAGCTCTGGAAGACCAGAGCATACTACTAAGTCGAATCTTGCTGTGTGGCTTCTCCTTTCTGTGAGGGATGCCTTGTTCCAACCCATGCCCACGTGTTCAAAGTCAACCTTGGTGACTCTGAACCTGTAGAAGGCACAGTGGGAGGAGGACAGTAAGACCCCCTTTCTGGGGGTGCCACTTTTATGGTCTTTGCCGTTCTCCACACAGTGGGAAACTTTACCTGGGAAAGGTAGTGGTATCTTCTTGATCAATAATTTCCAATACAAAAAATGGATAAAAGAGAAAAAGGGCTATGAATAACAGAACAAAAGGAAAATAAATAACAAGATGATAGACTTAAACCCAACCAAATACTAATCACATCAAATATAAATAGTCTAAAGATCCCAAATAAAAGGCAGATTGGAGGGGATAAAGAAGCATATTTCAACTATATAATGCTTATAAGAAATGTACTTTAGCCCTGGCTGGCATGGCTTAATGGATTGAATGCTGGCCTGTAAAGCAAAGGTTCGCTGGTTCAATTTCCAGTCAGGGCACATGCCTGGGTTGTGGGCCAGGCTCCCTGGTGCAGGGCACTGGGACACACAAGAGGCAGACACACACTGATGTTTCTCTCTCTCTCTCTCTTTCTCCCTCCCTTCCCCTCTCTCTAAAAATAAGTAAATAAAATCTTTTTTTTAAAGGTATGTTTAAAAAATAAAAAATGTACTTTAAATATATAGACACAAATTGGTTACACAGAAAGAGATATCATGTAACATTAACCAAAGGAAAGCTGGAATGACTCTACTAATAAAGTAAATTTTGGAGGGAAAATAAAGGCAATTTCATCATGATAAATGCATCCATTTATCCGGAAGACATAACAAACCTAAATCTGTATGCACCTAATAATAAACCTTCATAATATACAAAGCAAAAACTGATAGAGTTGCACAGAGAAACAGACAAACCCACAATTATAAGCAGAGATTTTATATTTTTTTTTTTTAAGATTTTATTTATTTATTTTTAGAGAGGGAAGGGAGGGAGAAAGAGAGAGAGAAACATCAATGTGCGATTGCTGGGGGCCGTGGCCTGCAACCCAGACATGTGCCCTGACTAGGAATCGAACTTGCGATGCTTTGGTTCGCAGCCCAAGCTCAATCCACTGAGCTACGCCAGCCAGGGCGAGATTTTAATATTAAGAACTCAGACCAATGACTTCCATTTTCACCTTAAGAAACTAGAAAAAGAAGAGCACAATAAACCTGAAGAAAGGAAATAATAAAGATCAGGGTGACAATCAATGCCACAGAAAACATAGAAAAACAAGAGAAACTCAACAAAACCAAAAGCTTGTTCTTTAAGACAAAAAAATTGTATAATCCTGAGATTCCAGCCAAGATGGAAGCATAGGTAGAAATGCTTCACTTCCTCACACAACCAAAAGAAGGATCACAACCCATTTAGAAACAATGAACAACAAGAACTGTCAGAATAGCAAACTGCATGGAACTCCAACAACCAAGGAGTTAAAGAAACATTCATCCAAACTGGTAGAAAGGGCAGAGATGGGCACCTGGAGACAAGGCAGCAAACCCTGCGGACAAGGAGGGGCTCACTCATTGGGAAACTAAAGACTCAAAACTGGTAGTGGTAAAATACTGTGGGAGTTGTGAAGGCAGGAGAAACTCCCAGGAGAGTCTAACAGGAGAGTTCATTGGAAAGTGGAGCTAGAGCAGAGCAAGTGAGCGGTATCGTTCCCTCTCTGACCTCTCCCCCACAACACGGCCAAGAGAGTTGCCCCACTCTGGTAAATAGCTAAGACTCCACCCCCTTACAACTTAACAGGTGCACCAAGACAAAGAATGGCTCAAATGAAAGAACACATTAAAACTCCAGAAAAAGAGCTAAGTAACCAGGAGATAGCCTATCTGATGCAGAGTTCAAAACACAGGTAATCAGGATGCTCAGAGAATTGATTTAGCTCTGTCACAAAATGAAGGAAGAAATGAAAGCTATACAAAGTGAAATAAAGGAAAATATACAGGGAACCAACAGTGAATGGAAGGAAACTGGGACTCAAATCAACAATTTGTTTTGTTTGTTTTTTTAATGTATTTTATTGATTATGCTATTACAGTTGTCCCATTTCCCCTTCTCTCCCCTCCACCCTGTACCCCCTCTCCCACCCACGTTCCCCCCCTTTAGTTCATGTCCATGTGTCATTCTTATGAGTTCTTTAGCTTCTACATTTCCCGTACTATTCTTGCCCTCCCCTATCTATTTTCAACCTACATTCTATGCTACTTATTCTCTATACCTTTTCCCCCCTCTCCTCCTCCCACCCCCCCCCCTGCTGCTAGCCCTCCATGTGCCCTCCATTTCTGTGGTTCTGTTCCTGTTCTTGTTTACTTAGTTTCTTTTGGTTTTGCTTTAGGTGTGGTTGTTAATAATTGTGAGTTTGCTGTCCTTTTACTATACATGTCTTTTCTTTATCTTCTTTTCTTAGATAAGGCCCTTTAGCATTTCATAAAATAAGGGCTTGGTGATGATGAACTCCTTTAACTTGACCTTATCTGAAAAGCACTTTATCTTCCCTTCCATTCTAAATGAGAGCTTTGCTGGATAGAGTAATCTGGGATATAGGTCCTTGTCTTTCATGACTTGGAATACTTCTTTCCAGCCCCTTCTTGCCTGTAAGGTCTCTTTGAAGAAATCGGCTGACAGTCTGATGGGAACTCCTTTGTAGGTTACTGTCCCCTTATCTCTTGCTGCTTCTAGGATTCTCTCCTTCGTTTTTACCTTGGCTAATGTAATTATGATGTGCCTTGGTGTGTTTCTTCTTGGGTCCAACTTCTTTGGGGCTCTCTGAGCTTCTTGGATTTCTTGGAAGACTGTTCCCTTTGCCAGATTGGGGAAGTTCTCCTTTATTATTTGTTCAAATACGTGCTCCATCTGTTGCTTCTCTCCTTCCTGTTCTGGTACCCCTATAATTCAGATGTTGGAACGTTTAAAGGTGTCCTGGATGCTCTTAAACTTTTACTCAATTTTTTTAATTCTTATTTCATCATGCTTTCCTGCTTGGTTGATTCTATCTTCCTTCTGGTCCACTGTATTGTTTTGAGACTCAGATTCCTTCCTTTCACTATTGGCTCTCTTCCGCGTATCTTCCTTCATCTCTTTTATGGTAACCTGCATCCTTTCATCTAAATTGCACCCAAAATCAACCAATTCCGTGAGCTTTCTGATCACCAATGTTTTGAACTGTGCATCTGATAGATTGGCTATTTCTTGGTCACTCAAAAGGATGAGTCCTGGGGGACTGATCTGTTCTGTTGGATACATGTCTTATGTCTTTCCCTGTCTCTGGTCACTCTTGCTACGGTGGGGGGCAGAGCCTTAGGTGTTCACTGGGGCTGGGCACCCTGGTCGCTAGATTGTGACGTTATATGTGGGGGCGGGGGCGGGAGCGGAAGGGGACAATGGCGGTAGTTCTGTTCTCCTGGGCTCAGGCCCTTCCTTGGGATACTGGGCTGTGAGCTCTGCCCTGGTCCACAATCGCTGCCCCACAGGGTCCGCCAGCCACAGCTTGCGCACTCAGGGACCACTGCTGCATTCTTGTGCCCCAGATGGCTGTCGCGCCGATTTCGTGCCAGATTTTCCCCAACCTCTGTGCGCCGCTGACCCACGCCAGCCCCGTGCCCGCCCGGCTCATTGTCTCCTACCGGTCTGGATGTACGGGTCTACTTCAACTTCTTGGCTGTCCGACTTCCATTCAGATAAATCCTCTGACAGTTCTGAGTGATATTCTATCTGTAAATTATTGTTGTTCTAATCTTGGTTGTGCGAGGAGGCACGGTGCATCCACCTATTCCTCCATCTTGCCGGAAGTCTCCCCAAATCAACAATTTGGAACAAAAGAAATAAATAAATGTCCAATGAGAACAGAATGAAGAAACAAAAATTCAAAAAAATGAGGAGAGACTTAGGAACCTTTGGGGTACCTTTAAATGTTCCAACATCCAAATCATAGGGATACCAGAAAGAGAAGAGGAAGAACAAGAAATTGAAAACTTATTTGAACAAACAATGAAGAACTTCCCCAGCCTGGTGAAGGAAATAGACTTCTAGGAAGTCCAGGAAGCCCAGAGAGTCCCAAAGAAGTTGGATCTAAGGAAATACACACCAAGTCACATCATAGTTACATTACACAAGATTAAAAGTAAGGAGAGAATCTTAAAAGCAGCAAGAGGAAAGGAGAGAGTTACCTACAAAGGAGTTCCCATAAGATTATCAGCTGCCTTCTCAAGAGAAACCTTGCAGGCAAGAAGGGACTGGGAAAAAATATTCAAAGTCATGAAAGGCAAGGACCTACATCCAAGATTACTCTATCCTGCAAAGTTATCATTTAGAATGGAAGGGAAGATAAAGTGCTTCCCAGATACGGTCAAGTTAAAGGAGTTCATCGTCACCAAGCCCTTATTATATGAAATGTTAAAGGGACTGATCTAAGAAAAAGAACATCAAAAACTATGAACAATAAAATGACAACAAACTCATAACTATGAACAACTGAACCTAAAAAAACAAAACAAAACAAAAACAAAGCAAACCACCAAAACAGAATCACAGTAATGAACATCACATGGGGGTTATCAGTGGGGAAAGGGAGGGGAAGAATAGGAGGGAAAAGGTACAGGGAATAAGAAGCATAATTGGTAGGCATAAAAATAGACAGAGGGAAGTTAAGAATAGTAAAGGAAATAGAGAAGTCAAAGAACTTATATATGTGACCCATGGACATGAACCCATGGAAGGGCTGGGTGGGGGATAAGGACGCTGAAGGGTGGGAGGTTGCAGGGCAGAGGTGGGGATAAAGGGGAGAAAAAAATTGGGACAACTGTAATAGTATAATCAATAAAATATACTCTTTAAAAAATGAATAATCCTCTAGCCAGATGATCGGGAGAAAAAGAGGAAGACACAGATTACTAGTATTGACAATGAAAGAAGTGACATCACTACAGAGTCTACAGAAATTAAAGGAAAATAAAGGAATATTAACATGTTTATGCTAATAATTTAACAACCTAGATGAATATGCAAACTACTGAAGGGCACTCAAGAGTAAATGGATCACCTAAAGAGCATTCTGTCTGTGAAATGAATTACAAAGAAAGCTCCAGATCCAGATGGCCTCACTGAGGAATTACACCAAACAGCTAAAAAAGAAATAATACCAATTGTACACAAGGCTTCCGGGAAATTAAAGAGGACAAATACTTCCCAAATTCATTCTTCTGCTCTCCAGAATTCTCTGTTAAAAGAATGAAAAGTGTTGGGGGAAAATATTTTCAAAACATATATCCAATAAAGAGTTTGAATCCTGAGTGTATAAAGAAGTCTTAAAACTTAATAGGAAGAACACAAGCAACCTAATGCAAAAACAGAACAATTTAAATGAACACTTCACCACAGAAGGTGTATGGATGGCAAACAGGTACATGAAAACATGTTCACCATCATTAGTCATTACAAAAATGCACATTGAAACCACAATGAGATACCACTACACACCTAAGAGAATGGTTGAAATCAAAAAGATTGACCATAGCAAAACTGGTCAAGCATGTGGAGGAGCTGCTGGTGGGATGCAGAATGGCACATGCACTTTGGAAGCCTGTTTGTCAGTTTTTTAAAAGTTACACAGCCCCCACCATGTAAGCTACATGTTGCACTCTGAGGCAACTACCCAAGAGAAAAGAAGGCATATGCTCACAGAAAGATTTGGTTATGAGTGCTCAGAGCATCTTGTTTGTAATTGCTCTGAACTGGAAACAAGCCAAATGTTCATCAGCAGATGAATGGATAAATCAGTTGTGGTGCATCCATACACTGGAGTTCTATTCAGGAAAAAAAAAAAGAGTCAGCTATTGATACGCAACAACAGCATACTCAAAATAGTTGTGCTGAGTGAAAGAAGTCAGGGAAAAAGCCCGTTCCGTATGATTCCATTTGTATAAACTTACAGAAAATGCAAACTGACGTGCAGGGCCAGATAGATCAGTATTGGTGGAGGCCGCAGGAGAGGCACGGGAAACTTTTGGGGGTAATGGAGATGCTCACTATTTTTAGGTGCTGGTTTCCTGGGTGTATCATGTGTCAACACTTATCAACTTGCATACTTTACATATGTGCAGGTTGATTATGTGTCAATTATAACTCGATGAAGCTGTTTTAAAAAGAGAAAATATGTGTGATTGAAAGCATATTGTGTGTCCAATTGTGTCTTCTACACTTTTCACAGTAAAAGCATATTATGAGCACTTCCTCTTATCAAAAATTCTGTTTTTAATGACTAAATACCATCCCAATGTATTTACAAATTTACAACATATTTACAATATATTTAATCTCTTTTCTCTGGCAGGCATAGGGACAGTTTGCCTGTTCTTCATCCAGTTAAATGACACTATAATAAGCATGTTATTACATAATTTTTTATACATTTTTGGATTATTCATGAAAGCCGGATTGCCAGAAGTGGAGTTATTGGAGCAAAAAACTAAAACCGAGTATTCCACGTTCCACGTAGGTTCAGGATTTGGCGCGGCCACCAAGGCGATGTGCATCGGCATGCGGTACTGGAAGCCCGAGCGGCTGGAGACCCTCATCGAAGTCAGCATTGAGTGCGGCAGGATGACACACAACCACCCCACAGGTGACCCTGGCATCAGGGTGGGGCCTGTCGTGAGACTCTCTGCCCAAAGGACTAGACTGGAATCTCATGTGATCACATTCCCCGTTTGGTTTGCTATTTGGTGGCAGACTTGAGTTTTTAAATCTTCAGTTCTGCTTAAATTCTCTTTTCAAGCTAAAAACGGGACTGGGAGTAAGTGTGGTGATTTGGAGAGGGCAGGAAAAGCACCAGTTGTCCAAACAAAGCTGAGATCTGGGTTGAAGTCATGGGAGCTAGCGCTTACGTTGCCGACACGGAGGGCAGCCCAGGGCTCAGGGTCCCTTGCTGCTGCGAGCTGCTCCTGGGTCCAGGGCGTGGAGCCAGACAGACCACTCAGTGGCTGTGTGAGTTGGGCCGAGCCACTTAATGGCCCTGTGCCTTCACCCCTCGCCTGTAACAGGGATGATTGTGGTGATAGGAACCCTGTTCACTTGTTCTGTGTGTGGGGATAAAGTGAGTAAAATAATAAAACCTCTTAGCACGTGCTCGCCTCATGGTGTGCACAGAGCGGCCTGCTGCATTCTGGGATGGCCCACCATGTGTCCACCACACAAGGAGGGCAGGTGGGGCGGCCCCAGAGCCTGACTGTGAGAAAGCCAGTCAGCTCCTAATGTTTAAAGAAGAAGAATGACTTGAAAGTCATGTACCTGTGACCTGCCCTTACTTATGGCGATGTGGGTGATGTGCCCCAGCCCCACCCAGCCCCGCTAGCCCCACCCAGCTGGCACCAGAGGCTGCCAGCTGCTCTCTGGTGACTGTTCTCCTCTTTCAAGGTCGCCTTCAGGGGCTACCCTGTGTCTTCCTGGAAAGTACTGTTCCGAGGGTGCAAACTCTAGTGGGTGAAATAACCCCTGATGAGTGGATGTGGCAAAATATGCTGATGAGTTCACCAAAGGTGGTAACAGGCTTAAGCTGTAACTTCCACAGATAAGTTGGTTAGACCTTTAAAGTTTACTCAGGAAGGCATAAAGTTCAACCAGTTGGCAGTATCTTGTATGGTTGAAAAGAAGTTAACACTGGACATCTTCTAACTAACTGGCTTGACTAGAGGTAAATGAAACACAGAAAAACCTTCAAATGTGAGGATGTCGAGCATTTGGAAACAGTGCGATGAATACGAGAATCTGGGTTGAGAGTTAAACTCTAAACCTTTGGCTAATACATGACCCACTCTTATTAAAGAGTGTTGTTTTACATGTTTAATAGAAGGGTCATTTACATATTTCTAGGAGAACGACTGGAAATGTTTTAAGGGTTTGACTGTACACAGTTAGCACCAGGATGTGCATTTGAAGCCCACTCTCCTTTTCCATTTTTGAACCACCTTTGCCAGCAAGTGTTGACAATTTTAATTACAACGTGCATTATCTTGGACTCTGGCGCTGAAACACTCCGTGAGAGGAAGAGGAGCAAGGGCAGGTGGTCAGAACAGTCATTGAACCCTGGGTTGGAGAACTAGACGCTAATGCCCTGCCATCAAAATGATCCGTAACTGATGCCATGAGGAGGGGCCAAAGAGCCACCAAGAGTGTCTCAGTGAGACGGCAGTGCCCTTCTCTGGTGGGCACCGTCTTTGCATGGCCGTTACTGGGAGCATTTGTCTGTGGTTGGAATCATCTGTCCCCACAACAGCCCTTGCAAGATGGGAATTGTACCTCTTTGTGCAGAGAGGAAGGGACGTCAAAATGCAGGAAGCAGTTGCCCATAGTCCTACATCCGTAACACCCATCCAGCATCCCAGAGCAGGGTGCGGCCCAGGTGCCATTGTTGCCCCTCTCTCCCCACCCCCCTCCAGGCTTCCTCGGGTCTCTATGCACAGCCCTGTTTGCATCTTATGCCATACAAGGAAAGCCACTGGAGCAGTGGGGCAGAGACATGATGAAGACGGTCCCGCTGGCTGAAGAATACTGTAAGAAGACCATCCGGCACATGGCAGGTGAGCCTGGATGCCTTTCCTGTCTCACTTGCTTGCACTAGCATCTAGAAAGAGTTTGGTCTCGATTCACACTCAGAGCAAATTTGGACAGATCCCACTCCCAAAGAGGTCAAGGTCATTTGCCCCACGGTGAAACCAAGAGCATCCCCAAAGGGCCTGTGTGAGCAGGAGGACCCCACAAAGAAGGCCTGAAATGACACCTGCTTGGGAGGGCCCCAGATGTACACAGAGAGCCACGGAGGTGGCAGGAAGAGCGGGGTGCATACAGCAGATCCTTGAACTCTGTGTTTCATTCCATGTCACTTTGTTAAAGCGTTGAGATGCTGTTAGGAACTTAACTCTTATTCATATCCATTAGCCTGTGGTAAAATTGGCTTCCTTAAACGTCATTTCACGTAGTCACAGAACCTATTGAGGATGTTAAGTGGGGACTTACTGTACCTAGATTTAATTTTTCAAGTTGTCCTTAAGTAGCCCATTTTTCGGAGAGCAATGAGGAGGGCCAGCCCTGTGCTCTGGGAACCTAGTGGACAGCTGTGCCTAACCCAGGAGTCTTAAGTCTCCCACACAAGGACCAGATGGAGAAGCCTGTGCCCACTGATGACATTAATTCCCAGGAAGCTCCATCTGTCCCAGCTGACCCCAAACTTGGCATCAAATGATTCACTCTTTTTGGCCACGAGTGAGGTCAACCCAGCCAAAAGCAGCCAATCCAGCAAAGGCCCTAGGGGATCACGGTGCTACTGGCGTTCCGGCGGGGCAGTGGGGGGGCCTCTGAGCTCCTCTTGGCCTGCACCCCTGTCCCCATCGCGTCCCCGAGGGTGAGCAGTCACGATACTAGGAGACGCAGGGCTTTCTCCTCAGGCGGCTGACCCACAGAGGGACATGGGCTGCGTGAGGAAAGCAGACAGCTGCATGCGGCCTTTGATGGTCTTAAACTGCGGAGGAGAACTAGAGAATACATTATCCAAGTTAATTCTCCTGGAGGAGAGGGAGTTGGAGGATCTGCATGTGGGAGCAGGGTTGTCGGATTTTCAGAAAGTTTGAGGCTAAAGTCTTAAAACGTAAAACCCACAAATCATTTTACTGTTGTCCTCCAAGCTGAGGGTACTATGTTCTAGAATGCCTCATGCAAAGCTTCTGGAATAACGTTTTAAGGAGGCTTTTGCATTTACATCTGCCGGGACCTAGTGCTGGAAAACACTTCTCCACAAGGTCCCTGTTCCAATGAGAAATGAGAAACCTCCGTGTTCACAGCAAACTTCGGGTGTCCCTAAGCAGTGATCCCTCTATAAACCTAATTATAGAGCCTGAGTGGCAGCACACTATTTTCATTTGGGTTAAGTCATTGTTATCTCTGGGTTCTCTCCAGCCCGGAGGAGTCTGGTCTGTGATCGCTGGGTTAGTCATCTCCCTCACCAAGTAGGTCACCTTACTGTGAAAGAGCCAGGTAAATAGCGTTAGTGTCTGAGACCACACAGTTACTGCTTATTCACATTGTATTAATAAATATTTCCCCAGAACTCTAGTATCAAAATGGGTTTCCCCAGAGCTGTCTAAGAACAAATAGTCAAAGACGTTTCATAAACAAAAACAGGGAGGAGTCATTGGTCTGATAATTTTGAGACTTTGTTCTTTCTGTTTAATTTTAAATTTGTTTAACTCAGTTTTATAAACCTCTGTGGCAGAACCTTTTTTAAATTTATTTTTTACTTTTTTAATTTTTATTTTTTTAAAATAATATTATGGTTGTCCCAATTTTCCCTCCTCCCTCTAGCAATCCCCCCCCGGCTTAGTTCATGTCCGTGGGTCATGCACATACGTTCTTTGGCTTCTCATTTCCTATACTGTTCTCATCCTCCCCTGTCTATTCTGTACCTGCCAATTTGTACTTCTTAAGCCCTGCACCATTTCTCCCATTCTCATCCTTCCCCCTCCTGCTGGTAACCCTCCATGTGATCTCCATGTCTGTGATTCTGTTCCTGTTCTAGTTGTTTGCTTAGTTTGTTTTTTAGATTCAGTTGTTGATAGTTGTGAGTTTGTTGTCATTTTAATGTTCATAGTTCTGATCTTCTTTTTCTTATATAGTTCCCTTTAGCATTTCATATAATTAGGTCTTGGTGATGATGAACTCCTTTAACTTGACCTTATCTGGGAAGCACTTTGTTTGCCCTTCCATTCTAAATGATAGCTTTGCTGGATAGAGTAATCTTGGTTGTAGGTCCTTGCCTTTCATGACTTGGAATACTTGTTTACAGTCCCTTCTTGCCTGCAAGGTTTCATTTGAGAAATCAGCTCATAGTCTTCTGGGAAGTCCTTTGTAGGCAACAGTTTCCTTTTCTCTTGCTGCTTTTAAGATTCTCTTTTTATCTTTTACCTTTTGCGTTTTAACTATGACGTGTCTTGGTGTGTGTGGTCCTCTTTGGATCCAACTTGTTTGGGACTCAGTGCTTCCTGGATTTGTATGTCTATTTCCTTCACCAAATTAGGTAAGTCTTCTTTCATTATTTTTTCAAATAAGTTTTCAATTTCTTCCTCTTCCTCTTCCTCTTCTGGCACCCCTATGATTTGGATTTTGGTACATTTGAAGATGTCCCAGGAGCTCCTTATTCTATTCTTATTTTTTAATTCTTTTTTTCTTCTTGCTGTTCTGATTAAATACTTTTTATTTCCTTGTTGGTTCCCAGTAGATTTTTTCTTTATTTCACTTAATGCAACCTTCATTTCTGCCTGTGTCTTTTTTATGCTGTTGCAGGATAAAAAATGTTTTCCTTGAGCGCCCTGATAACCAGTGTTTTGAACTCTGCATCTGATAGGTTGCTTATCTCCATTTCATTTAGTTCTTTTCCTGGAGTTTAGTTTTGTTCTTTCATTTGAGCCATATTTCTTTGTCTCCTCAGTTTGGCAGCTTCCCTGTGTTTGTTTCTGCATATTGGGTAGTGCTGCTTTAACTCCATGCCTTAGTAGCGGGGCCTATTGTAGAAAAGGCACCTGTAAATCGTGTGGAGTGGAGCCTTACATAGTTGTCAGGGTCGGGGGAGTGGGGAGAGGCAATCCATTTCACCACTTTATGGCTCTTTGTGGGGGAGGACTCAGAGAGGGAACAATGCCGCTGCCTGGCCTCTGGAGATTGCCAGAGAAGAAATCGTCTCCTGGCACTAGCCCCCTTGCTAGTCACTTCACTTTCTCCCCTTCTCCCCGTATGCCACTTGTGCCCTTCCAGCTGTTGCCCTGGTGCTGAATCCCAGAGCGGGTGGGTCTGCGTGAGTCCTACGTCTTTGCAGACCCTTTAAGAGGAGTCTCTTGATAATCATGCAGTTTCTTCCACCACTGCAACCACCACTTGTTTTTACAGCCGGAAGTTATAGGAACTTATCTTCTTGGTGCTAGAACACTGGGCTGGGTGGTCTGGTCTGGGATCACTTGTTCCCAAGGTATCCCCCCCAATTTTTATCCACCACACGTGAATGTGGGACCACCCACTCTACCACATCTCCACACCTCCCTGCTTCTCTCCGTGCCTCTCTGCCTCTCTGCCTCTCTGCCCTCTTATTGGCCTGGATGAATGTGGCTTCTTTAAATCTTTGGCTGTCAGACTTAGATACAGCTCGATTTTTCTAACAAATTTGGGTGATATTTGTTTTGTAGTCTAGTTGTAATTTTTGCTGTAGTTGTGCATGGAGGTGAAGCATGTTTACCTACACTTCCATCTTGACCAGAAGTTAAATTTTTATTTTTAATTACAGTTGACATTCAATATTATTTTATATTAGTTTCAAGCTATAGCATAGTAATTAGACATCTAGGTAATTTAAGAAGGGGTCCCCCCAATAAGTCTAGTACCCACCTGGCACCATACATAGTTGTTACAATATTATTGACTATGTTCCCTAAAATGTACTTTACTTCCCTGTGACTATTCTATAATTACCTATTCATATCTCTTCCCCCTCCCCATTTGTACTTCTTAATCCCTTTTTAACAAAATACCTAAAACCATCCAGAAAAATAATATTCTATAGAATACCTCCACGAAATATTCTATTGGGACCTTCTGATTAGTCTATGACAACACTGGCAGTCAGGACAACTAGCACATTAGTTCCATGTTTTTGTGTTTGAACATCTGCGTCCAAAGTTGACTGGTCATTTGCTCGGGAAAGAGGCTAAGTCTGAGCTTGCACTCACACCCTGCGTGAGCTCTCTGTTAGAATGACAGGTCTCTGCAGGACTAATGGGATCTGTGAATTCCAGTCTCTTCCCAGCTGCTTCTGTCTTTCACTTTTAATCTTATTTCACTGAAACAGACCTTAAATGGACCTCATCTTTAGTTTTGTAAAACAGAGTCATTGCCTTGACTGGTGTGGCTCAGTGGGTTGGGTGTCATCCCACCAACAGAAAGGTTGCCAGTTCCATTCCCGGGCAGGGCACATGCCTGGGTTTCAGGCCAGGCTCTCGGCTGGGGGCATGGAAGAGACAACTGATTGATGTTTCTCTCCCTCTCTTTCTCCCTCCCTTCCCCTCTCTCTAAAAATAAATACATATGATCTTTTTCAATTATTTTTATTTTAAAAATATATTTTACTGATTATGCTATTGCAGTTGTCCCATTTTCCTCCCTTTATCCATCTCTGCCCTGCAACCTCCTTCCCACCCACCCGCACCCCTGCCCCTTTAGTTTGTGTCCATGGGTTGTACATATAAGTTCTTTGGCTTCTACATTTTGTATACTATTCTTAACCTCTCCCTGTCTATTTTGCACCTATCATTTATGCTTCTTATTCCCTGTACCTTTTTCTCCATTCTTTCCTCCTCCTCCCTGCTGATAACCCTCCATGTGATCTCCATTTCTGTGATTCTGTTTCTGTTCTGGTTGTTTGCTTAGTCTTTTTTTTTTTTAGGTTCGGTTGTTGATAGTTGTGAGTTTGTTGTCATTTTACTGTTCATATTTTTTATCTTCTTCTTTTTCTTAGATAAGTCCCTTTAACATTTTATATAATAAGGGCTTGATGGTAATGAACTCCTTTAACATGACCTTATCTGGGAAGCACTTTATGTTCCCTTCCATTCTAAATGATAGCTTTGCTGGCTAGAGTAATACTGGATGTAGGTCCTTGCTTTTCATGACTCCAAATACTTCTTTCCAGTCCCTTCTTGCCTACAAGGTTTCTTTTGAGAAGGCAGCTAATAGTCTTATGTGAATTCCTTTGTAGGTAACTCTTTCTTTTCCTGTTGCTGCTTTTAAGACTCTCTCCTTGCCTTTAATCTTGGGTAATGCAACTATAATGTGCCTTGGTGTGTATTTCCTTGGGTCCAAGTTCTTTGGGATTCTGAGCTTTCCGGGCTTCCCAGAAGTCTATTTCCTTTACCAGATTGGGGAAGTTCTCCTTCATTATTTTTTCAAATAAGTTTTCAATTTCTTGCTCTTCTTCTCCTTCTGGCCCCCCTGTGATTCAGACATTGGAATATTTAAAGTTGTCCCAGAGATTTCTAAGCCTCCCCTCATTTTTCTGAATTCATGTTTCTTCATTCTGTTCTGGTTGAATGTTTATTTCTTCCTTCTGCTCCAAACCATTGAGTCCTGGTTTCCTTTCCTTCACCGTTGGTTCCCTGTACATTTTCCTTTATTTCACTTTTCATAGCTTTCACTTTTTCCTCTATTTTGCAATCATACTCAACCATTTCAGTGAGCATTCTGATTACCAGTGTTTTGAACTCTACATCTGGTAGGTTGGCTATCTCTTCATCATTTAGTTGTATTTTTTCTGGAGCTTTCATCTGTTCTTTCATTTGGGCCATATTTTTTTGTCTCAGCATTCCTGTTACATAGTAAGGGGTGGAACCTTAGGTATTTGCCAGGGCAGTGCAACCCAGTTGGCTGCATGTGGCTCTGTATGTGGGGGAGGGGTCCAAGAGGAAACAATGCTGCTTGCTCAGCTCTTGGCTGGCTTTCAGTGACTTTCCCCGCTACCCACAAGCAATTTGGGCCCTTCTGTTGCTGATTCTCATGTGGGTGGGTTTGTGTACATTCTAGGACCCCGTGGGTCTCTCCAGCAAACTCTCCTGTGAAGCTGGAAGTTTCTCCTGCTGCTGAACCCCCCACAGTTTTTTTCAGTCAGAGGTTTTGAGGCTTTATTTCCCTGTGCTGGTTGTGTGGTCTGTTTCGCTCCCAGTCGTTCCTCCCAGTTTATCTGCATGCAAGTGTGGGACCGCCCACTCTACCAGCCACCACCTTGCTGGGAGTCCTCTCTGCCTAGCTGCCTGTCCCCAAACCTCCTACCGGTCTATATGAATGGTTCTTTAACTTCTTGGTTGTTGGATTTCCATACAGTTTGATTTTCTGGCAGTTCTGGTTGTTTTTAAATTTGTTGTTGTCCTTGTTTTGGGTGTATGAGGAGGCACAATGTATCTACTTATGCCTCCATCTTGGCTGGAAGTCCTCAATAACTTCTTTTTTAAAAAGGAGTCACAACACTGTTTCTGAGGGCCTGTGATTTCCACAGCAACCTGGAATGTCCTCCCAGGACCCATCCCAGGCACTTCCTTCTGTCCCTGTGGTTAGAAGCATTTCCCTCTGCAACCAGTGACCACCCAGCCCCTCTCTGGTCACTGCTCCATTCTTCCACTCCCCAGCCACAAACAGACACATCAGCATCCTTGGTTCCCCTTGAGTCATTTGGTTCCCTTTGGCCTTCCTGGCCACTTAACCGTTCTACTCAGTTGGCATCCTGGGCAACCAATGGTCCTACTTGCTATCAAGGAGGACAAGGTCAAGTGTCCCACCAAGGTGAGGGACAATAAAGCCATCATGACTTCCTGGGTGCTCTAAGGCTCACAGCGCCATCTCCTATCCTGTGCCAACAAGTTTAACTGCTACTCCAGACTCATCTCTGAGTCAACATCCTCTTCTCTAAATGATGTCAGAAAATTTGCTTTGATACCTCTGGGCTCCAGATGTCCAGCCGGTAGTTAGGAATAGTAAAATGTCCTCTCTCCCTACCTTGCAGGCAGTGTTGAACTAATATACAGGTTCAGAACTTCCTAAGAATGCACTGAAAAGTATTGTAATTGCTATCTTAGTTCAGGATATAGTTAAGCAATTTGTTGAATTGTTCTGCCCCCTTTCCATCTTCCTTGCTATCATTTCAAAGCAGCTACACATATAAGCATGTTTTAATTTCCAGAGCAGCCAGTGAGGCCAGGTGCCAGGTTCTCCTTCTGTCTCCACGGTGGATAAAAGGTGTTTCTCTCTATGTGCTGTTCCTTCCTGCTCACTGCCCACAGCGTTCTTGAGCCCAGTCCCTGGGCCCTGGGCTGTACTCCCCCACACCCCCACATGCCAGCTGATGGCCATCCCATCCTGCCCACCCTGTTTCTACATTTAGAGTACCAGGAGCACTGGTTTTACTTTGAAGCAAAATGGCAGTTTTACTTGGAGGAGAGAAAAATCAGTGAAGACACTGAAAACAAAGCTGCCTTTCCTGACCATTATGATGCGGAGGAGAGGGACAAGGTAAGCCTTGTGGCAGCAGGGGACCAGCAGCTCTTCTGGGTCCACGCCCGGAAGCCACCCTGCACCTGGACTATGTTATTGCCTTCCAAGCCCTGTGTCTGGTGGTGCTGCCCCTAGCAGTAAAGATGGGCTGAGGGGGCAGCTGCATGTGGGAGGGACCATGGAAGACGTCACTGTCCCTCAGCCCAACTCAGACGGAATGTCACCTGGATGTGGTGTCATCACAACCCTGTCACAGCACTCTCAGTCCCTTCACTAGCTCTATCTCTTTGCATAGACCTTCTGGGCACCTGACATGCTGTCACGTGCTTATTTGTCTAAGGAATGTCTGTCTCCAAATGGCTGGGATGTAAGAGCCATGAGAAGTGAGTCTTCCTGCTCACTATCCATGCCAGCCCCGGGGCAGTGCCCGCACACAGCTGGTGTTCTATGAGTGCACAGCGGGTGAACAAACAGTCCCCTGATGGACCCGGGAGCTCGTGCTCTAACACAAACTGGCGTGGTCCTACTTCTGGCCCATGCTCTGACCCATGGCTCTCTCTTCAGACCTACAGGAAATGGAGCTCGGAAGGTCGAGGGGGCCGACGGGGCCATGATGCCCCCATGATTGCCTACGACGCTCTCTTAGGAGCCAGGAACAACTGGACGGAGCTCTGCCATCGGGCCATGTTTCACGGAGGTGATACTTCCTTCTTTAATGGCTCTGGACTTCCAGGAGGCCAGCACCTGCTTCTCATGCAAAAGCATCCTGTCAGGATGTCCAAAGCTTTAGGCATTGGGGACCCCCAGAATGTGGGTCCTTCTGTGAGGGGGGCACTGGCCCCAGTATAGTAGTGCATGGATATTCCAGGCTGCAGGCGGGTCACGGCGCTGCCTCAGCTAGCCCTGTGACTCTGAGCTCGGAGAGAATGTAGTATTTGGGGTCGCTGAGGTGGAGGGCCCCTCACCCTTATGGCTGCTGCTTGACAGCACAGATTCTGCCAACACAGATTCCAACACAGATTCCGCTGGTGCTGGCCTTGCAGAGTTCTGATCTCTGCAACCATCACCTCATCCAGCACCTCTGCAGACCCTGGTCACAGAGAAGTTGTACTTCAGAACCAGGTGGTCCTGGATTCGAATCCAGTTCCAGGCCTGTGTCTCTGTGAAGGAAGAGGGTAAGACCTGACTCACGGGGCTGTTGAGGCCATTCGGCACATGGTGCCGGGAGTTCACCGTATGCTGTTGGGCAGCAGTGCTCTTTGCTGCAGGGGAGGCTGACCCCCTCCTGGTGCCTGTTTTCTCCTGTAAGTGTAAGGAAGACACCATGTTTGTGTTGCCTCCTGGTGGCATGGGTTCCACCAACATTAGAGTGACTATTGTCAGAGCAGAGTGCTGTTCCTGGTGCTGAGATGGTTGAGACAGTAGTGCTTCCTTCAGGCCAACAGGGAGCCTTCTTCTTCGAGAGCGTGGGGGAAGCCACTGGGGGAGGAAGAGCCCAGGAGAGAGCAGTGGGAGGGGAGGGCGGCAGGGTGGCCGTAAGCATGGGAGGAAGGGACCTTCGGGAGGCACAGTGATGCACCCAGCCCAGGTCCCTGAGCTGAGAGCAGGAGGGGGGCATGCAGGGACCTTTGTGAGGTGCTTGTGAGGGAGCCTGGCGTGACTCTGGCCACCCTAGAGAGCCTGGAGGGGAGGACTCTCAGGAACGCCGTCCCCACAGGAGGTGGTCTCCCTGAGCACCCAGCCCCTGGGATGACAAAGCCATCTGCACACGCTGTGTGTTGTCAGGGTGTTTGAGGAGGGAGAGAGGGAGAAAGGGGAGACACCTGTCTTCTTAACTGGGAACAGCAAAAGCTACCAGGGCCCACATGGCACTGCCTGGAGCAAAACTGGGGTTTGGCGAGAGGGAGGGGATGGAGGCTGAGAAAGCGCTGGCACTGCCTGCTGGTGAGTGATCAGCCCAGTAGAGTCTCTAAGGCAGGCCCTTGGCAAGGAGGCCTTGGTTAGTGTCAAGTTCACGGTGATGCACCCCTTCCTGCTCTGTCATTGGGATCCCTGAGGAACTGTGTTTCCATTGCAGGTGAGAGTGGGGCCACAGGGACCATCGCGGGCTGCCTGTTCGGATTGCTCTATGGCCTGGATGCTGTTCCCAAGGGCCTGTACCAGGAGCTGGAGAACAAGGAGGAGCTGCTGCACCTGGGTGAAGCTCTTCACCGCCTGTCCACAGAGGAGAAGTAAAGCCATTTCCCTTTCCAGGGAGCCCGTTCTACCTCTGGGTGCCCCAGGGGAGTCCACATGCAGCTCACTGGACTCTCAGCTTGCTGAGAGTCCATGCCTAATCGACCATGCTTTATAAAATACATTGTTTGTCCTGGAAGAATATTTTCTATTCTGACCCAAATCTAGTGCATTATTGAGGTCATGCTGGATTTGCTACACTCAGACCTCCTCATACAGTGGTTGCAAATAGTCTTTTGGACAATTGGTGTATTTTATCGTGGCATAACTAATGCTGTTCGCTCATTCACTTCAATTAACCACAGGGCTCTGCGCAGAAGGGTCTCCTCCCTCTGCAGACACTGCCATCACTGTCTGTTTCTAGCTCTTAGACATGCATTTCAGCCACTGCTGCCACCCCCTCGGCCACGCCCACCACTCTGGGCATGTGCTGCACGTGTGTTCTCACTGCCGTGTGTCCCCTTCAGAAGAGCAGTCAGTCCCGGCGCCTTCTGGATGCAGCCAAAAGCACCGCGTTTAACCTGCCAGCCTACATTTTTAATCACACTAGATCTTTAAAGCCAGCCTTTTGGAACAACTAAGGGAGGAAAACAGGCAATGAAGGGGTCTTGTGCTGGCACCGCACCTTCCTGCTCTGAGGTCTGCAGCTGTCACACCTGCGCGGGTCAGGAGCACATTGCAGCGAGGGCCAGTGGCCACTGCCCCCGGGGTTCGCTGAGGAGACAGAGCTGTTCCCTGTGGCCAATGTCCCTCTCTCTGAGAATCTGGAAAAGAGAACACTTGCTCTTGTTAAAAATAACTTTGGACACTATCTTTTCAAAGTAGCATCTGGTGTGAATAAAACAGCAGTTGGTGACTGATGTTTAACACATTGCTTTGGCAGCTTAGCTGGGCTTATCTTGCTGATGGGAGCACTCTCTTCATTGAAAGCTTGCCTCTGAGCACAGCCAGGCCTGGTCTTCAAGCCCTCGGGACGCCAGCACTCTGGGGAGTATGCTGTTGCTCACAAACACTCAGGTGTTTCCTGGAGGCTTCCTGGGATCCCCTTGTCCCCTCACCCAAAGCACCCTGACTCCCCTTCCTGGTCACCCCTGGCGTCATCATCTGTGGGAGCAGGACAAGATATGTTTTCCACAGAACACGTCACTTTCCGTTTCTTAGAAAAGTGGGAAGGTTTCCACCCTTGTTGACGAAAGAACCTGGGCCATTGTATGCTCAGCATATCGCACCGAAGTGTTTTTCACATCAGGTTTCTGAATAACTGAACTAACATTTGCTGCTACTGATGCTTTTCAATCAGAAGAGAGACAGGGTGGGCACAGGGTTCTCACATCACTCACCTCCACCAGCCCGCATCCAACCCAGGTTAGCGGGCGTGGAGAAATTAACTGAGCATTATCTTCCAGGAAAAGAAACCCAGTGAAGGTAAGTTGACACCTTCCTTGGACGTACATTACACAACAGCTTACTATTTTGAAGTGATACCCCATTTCCCCGCCTACCCTAAAAGTGGCCCTTTCGACTCGGCCGTGCAGAAGAGAAGCAGGTCCCAGTGAGCAAGTCGCAGATGGGTTGGAAGAAGCTCCTCGGTCTCCATCTTGTTGACAATTTAGGGAATTCAGTCCATCCTTAAGAATCAGGGAGTGGGTCTGTTAATAGATTGATTATAAATGAAAACACAAAGAAAAATTCACAAACATCATGAAATGAGTGAAACTGTTTTCCCCATTTCATTTTCCTAGTATAGGGAAGTGCAGAAGTTGAAAAGAAAAACAAAGGCATAAAAAGTAATGAAGTGAATTCTGTACCTACTTGCATTTTTAAAAATGTAATACTTGCTGATTTCATTTGTATTATAAAAGTAATATATGCACACAGTTTCACAAATTTAAATGCCATAAATGGTGCATGTGGAAAGCAAGATTCTTCCAAACTCTCAACCAGACTCACATTACCAGGCCCCAGAGAAAGCTGTAGGTCATGGTGCCTTATATCTCCTTCCAGAAAGTTCCTCTACACATACAATCAGGGGTTACTGTGTGTAGAGGAACACACATATGCAACCCATATTGTGTGGGTTGCATACTTGCATTTGTGGGTTGGATACACACACACATGATTTCGCTCCACAAATAAGAATGATAGTATACATAATGATTTCCTTTCGGCATTTTTCAGTTAACTGAGTTTTTAAATATTTTTCAATATCATCAATACATATACATGCCTCAGCCTTTTTCACTGTTGCTTTACATTCCATTGACACACATGCCACAGTCTGTGCAGTCAGGCCCCGACTGATGTTGTCTTTAAGTCCCTTCTGTTTCCTAGGCGGCATTTCAGATACCGCTCCTTATGTTAACTTCAAAACGTTGCTTCCCCATCGCCTCTGGAAAGAAATTAAACTTAATAGCACAGTAATTTTTCATTCCAGGATGCATTTTTTTCATTTAATGTTTCTAAAATTGAGATGCATCATATATTTTACCGTATTTGATCATTTAATTGACAAAGGTTTATTTTCCTTTTCCTGACACTTACAAAGTAACGGCACATCTCACAATCGATAGCATGTTAGGCCCGAGGGCACTGATTTAAACCCCGTGTGAAATCACATCCTCTAGAAAACCTTAGGGTGGGGGAAGTGGCACCTCTCCCTTCCTCCCAGGTGACCGGCCAGGATGACTGGGAGGCAGGCATGGTCCTGGGGTGTGCCCTGCTGCACCCTGCTTTCCTCCCACCTCTGTAGCCCAAGCCTCTTTACTCCCGGTCCCTTTGCTGGCACCAGCTGTGGGGACGTGAGGTCTGCATCTGGGACTCTGGGTGGATAGTGACCATGGCCAGGAGAGGTCATGGCCATCAGAAAGGGTTTGCACTCTGGCAGCCACCTGTGTCCCCAGGGACAGGTGGCTCCACTGTGGGGACTGGTTCCCTGTGGGGTTCAAGTTGTCCAGCTTCAGGCTGATTTCAGTTTTGTGTTCGGATTTCAAATCATTTTTTCCAACACTTTGGTATCTGGAAGCCAGATACGAGGAGGGTTGGCAGATGTTGCCCCTCCTCCCTGACAGCTGGGGGAACCCATGTAGGGCTCAATCGGTTGACAAGGTCGGAAGAGCCCGCTCAGGGAGTCCAATGACCCCAGTGCAACGCAGAGCTGCCTCAGTGCCCGGTTCTCTGGTGCCGCCCACCATTACTAGGTGCACATTCCCTAAATCGACATCTTCCTTGCAGGAGGTGCAGATATGGGCACCATTAGTACCTGTTTTCTGTAGGAATTCAGGGGGGTTGGAGTCGTTAGTGAATGAAGAGTGGGAACTTAAACCCAGCCTGACAACCCAACTTCTGGCTCTTAACCTGCAGTCGGCCTCCCTAATCCAGCGGGACTGGACCACAGCCTGGCATCTCCCAGGGAGGTCCCTCAGTGAGTTACCAAACCCCAGCACCTCAAGTAGACAGGACTGGAAAAATCAATCAAATGTCAACAGATGCAGCTGGAAATGCCCAAATTAATATTCCCTCCAAGCATCCAGGTTTTAAAAACTCCGTCATTGAAATTCACCCCAAAACTCCTGTAAATGAGAATGACTTGCAAGGGACAGTGCAGGCACTGTGACTACTTAAGTGAACGTCCCTCGTGTGTTGACTTGTTTCCAGTTACCAAGTAGAAATAAAGTGCAAGCACCCTCCGAATGTTATAGGGAAAAGTCAGCACGGGAAGGAAAACAGGCCTCCCGGTGGGTTCCGTGCACCCTGGTCACCGAGCAGAGATGGCAAGCCGGCAGACGGCAAGCCGGCAGACGGGAGGTTAAACACGCATGACAGAAAGAGCAGCTCTGGCACTGAGTGGTTGGCCATGACTTCATGGGGGGGGGGCACAACGGGCACCAGCCGGCGCCCAAAGCGTAGGAAAAAGGAAGGCGCTGGGCTCACAGCCCAGCACATGGCCCCACGCAGCACCTCTGCCTCGACAACCACCCTGACCCCCGCCCCGCAGCCGTGGGGACGTCCCACAGAGAGGGTGACCCAAGGGACACAGGGCCTTCTCTGAGCCTGAAGCTCACCTGGTGTAGACAGCTGCATGTCGTCCCCCACACACGCCTGAGGAAACCCAGGGCACCCGGGCCCTGCCCCTGGCGCCAGGCCTGCGGTGTTAGCACACTGCCGGGTCCCAATGTCACCAGTGACCCAGGGCTTATCTGTGCTTTCAGGATCCTGGAATGCACTCCTCACCCCGTGGCCTTGCTTCCTTCCTGCCCCATCCTAACGGTTTGTTTTCAAGTACTTCAAACACATAAGAGGTTAAAAAATGGGCAAAGAGCTCCCATGTTCCCTTCACCCAGCTTCACCAACCATTAACACTGGGCTATATTTGCTTCATCACTCTCTCTCCCTGTCAGTACACACAGAGACACACAAAGACACACTCAGGCATACAGAGATATGCACTTCCACACAGACACAAAAAGAGAGGTGACCACACACAGATATACACACACACACAGAGGTGTACACAAAGAGAGATGTCTGCATACAGATACACACACAGAAGTACACACACAAAGAGAGGTGTACACATACAGATACACACACAGAGGTGTCCACACAGAGATACGCACACACATAGGTATACACACACAAAGAGAAGTGTCCACACACAGATACACAGAGTCTGCACCTACACACAGACACACACACACACAGAGGTACACACAGTGACACCCCCCCCCACACACACAGCAGTAGTTAAAATTAGGTGTGAGAGGAGTGTCTCAAGAATGCTCTGCTTACGTATTAACTCTCAGGGCCTAGAACAGTCTTCACCACTCAGGGGACCTCAGTTCACCTGGGTTGGACAGACGCCCCTTTATCCACCATAGCCAGGGCCATGCCCAGGAGCTTCAGGTGCATGAACACGGGGTACCCCAGACCAGACGGCCACCCACCATTTTTTAACCAGCATTATTTCCAGGAAAATCTAGAGGTTCAGGTTCTCTGA